GCGAAATGCCGTGCCATATACGATTATGCAGGTGACAGGTAATAAGTTTTTAAAAAAATATTTATCAGCATGAAGCAACGACAATAACGTAATACTTTTTGTTCAGGTTTCGTGAGGCTTGCAGATTTCCTTTAACAAATAATTAACACCCTATGTATGACTTCAGGAATATGTCAGAATTACACAAAAATTATAATTTAAATACCATGAAATTTTACTTAGGTAGTCAGTGTTGCCATTTTTTTCAAAAAATAGCCATTTGGTACACACATTATCTTACTACTATACGTAGCGTTTTTTTCCCAACATCACTTACGTAACTTTTTTGGTGATAGTCTCCCGCAAAATTTGCGTTCTTTATTATGCTTGTGGGGAACTCCCAAGATGCTCTAATCTGTTAAGTCTAGCGCAAGTATCTAATGCACTTTGCTTTTACTTCAACTCTGTTCTGCTTAAAATTGTCTTCCGTTCAATTCGATAATCATCAGGTAGCATCTTTCTTGATACTTCGAATGTACTTTGGCCGAAATAGAGCACACCTCTGCTAAACATGAACAATTATGGAAGAATAAGGGAATGAACTAGCTCAACTGTTAATTGCCACCTCAAGTAAATGCAACATGAGCGCATTCCTTTGGGTTGAGGGCGAAACAGCAATTTGTCAGTGTAGATAAAGAATAAGAACGGTTAATCTTCATTCACCTGTAGAATAAGTTTAAATTTTTATTCTAATTTAAACAAATAAAGGGCTTAAATGCATATATTTAAAACAAGTCTAGCAAAACAGGAAGCAATTAATAATAATATAGCAGTCAGAGCAGGAGAGTAGTAGCAGCTTTTATTACTTGGCAGTGGTGGCAAGGATAAAATAGGGTTCTGATGAAAGTAAAAATGCATGTGAACACTGTTCGTGTATAAAAAATTATAAAGTGAAGATATTAATTGAACAAAGTGTCAACATGAGATATGCGAATGAAAGTAGAGGAGAATTTAAGGCAACACCAAACCCTTCATGAGACTAAAATTAGACAAAAAAACATGAATGGAATGAGCAGGAGACTACATTAACAAACCCACTACTTGAGGGGAAAATCCAAACAAACCTATGTTTAGATTCTTGCCTGCTTGAAAATCAAAATCCCTTCCCATACAGATAAAGCCGTACTTACCACCTTAAACTGTCTGATAGTTAAGTTGGTGCGGTGTGGCTGATTATCAATTTAAAGGTGCACTCAAGCAAGTATGTATTGCATAGTGTTCAACATTACTTCTCTAGTTTGTGAGTGAAATGGAAGAGTTATTATTTTTCCATATTTCTATGCTACAATAATAACCCACCATGCTTGCAATATTTTAATGCGTTAATCTTAAATATTGCCTAGCTTTCAATCATTGATAATAATAAGCCTGCTGTTACGCACATATTTATAAGTCAGGCCGAGTGAAATTAGGACTTTTATAAAACGATGTCTTGCGTAATAATGGTCTTCAAGGCAAGTGTGAGGCTTATAAGTTATCCGATTGCAAATGTATGTGGTCATCTGCATTAGTTGGTTTATTGACCACAATATTACTCACTCCGTTTGAGTTGCAACTTGGTGTCAATCTTTGATGCTGATATTTGTCTTTCACGATTGAGAGGATAGATTGCGTTAAAATTATGTTTTCTAGTTTCTGGAGAT